GGGCTCAGGCAATCCACTCACCTCAGCCTCCCAAAGGCACGGGACTACTGGCTGAGCCACCGAGCCCGGCTAGTAAATAAATTTTTAAAAAGAAAGTAGTGTCTTTTTATATCTAGTTACTTCTAAGATCTGCTCCTGGAGCCTCCCCTCCACCCTGGGAATTCAGCAGGTTATCTGACAATTAACCTATGTATACTTTCCTTTGTACTTACTCTGTTTGGGGATCCTGGACTTCTTGAATGTGTGGATCAATAACTTTCAATATTTTTGGAAAATTTTTAGCTATTATGTCCTCAGATACTACATTTGCTTCATTCTTTCTCTACCTGTACCTTCTGTGGCTCCAATTATACATATATTAGACCATCTGACTGTGTCTCACATGTTAATAGGCTTTTTACTACTTTTTCCATTCTTTTTTTCTCTCTGTATTTCATTTTATTTTATTTATTTTATTTTTTTAAGTTGGAGTCTCACTCTGTCGCCCAGACTGGAGTGCAGTGGCCGCTTCCGGCCACCGCAGCCTCGACCTGGTGGGCTCTGGCGATCCTTCTGCCTCAGCCTTCCAAGTAGCCGGAATTACAGGCATGCACTACCACGCCTGGCTGATTTTTTTATTTATCATAGAGATGAGGTCTCACTGCCCAGGCGCGTCTCGAACCCGCGGGCTCAGGCAATCCACTCACCTCAGCCTCCAAAGGCGTGGGATTTCAGGTTGAACCACCAAGCCCGGCTAAAAAATGCTTTAACAATCAATTATAAATTATCTTGAAACAAATAAAAAAGACTCTCAAAGAAATAAGTTACATTTTTTAAAAAAAACACCAGTTTTATGGATCTTAGCCATTATAGATTTGTAGTGATTTCAAAATGTTGTTTTAATTTAAAATTCCCTCATCACAATGTTAACCAAATCAAAACTAAAATGAGATATGACTTCACACACATTAGGATGGCTATAATTTTAAAAAAAAACAGAAAATAACAACTGTTGATGATGTGGAAAAATTAGAATCCCTGTGCATTGTTGGTAAGAATGCAAAATGACAGTCACTATGAAAACAGTATGGGGGATCTTCAAAATAATTACTTCACTTAGGTGAAAACAACCCAAGTGTCCATCAACAGATAAATAGATAAAAACAAGATGGTGTATATACATATGATGGACTATTATTCAGCCTTAGAAAGGAATTAAATTCTGACACATGCTACAACATGGATGAACCTTGAAGACATGCTAAGTAAAATAAGATAGTCATAAAAAGAAAAATACTGTATGATTCCACACGTGAGTAGTCAATTTCATTGGAGTAGTCAAATTCATAGAGACGGAAAGTAAAATGGTGGTTGCCAGGGACTAATAAGAAAGGAGATATTATTTAATGGGTATAGACTTTTAGTTATGCAAGATGAGCAAAGTTCCATGGATGCATGGTGATGATGGCTGCACAACAATGTGAACTTAATGACCCTAAGCTGTATACTTAGAGAATTAGCAAGGTAAATTTTATGTTATGTACATTTTACCACAGTATTTTTTAAATAATTTCTTGAAACATAATGAGCAAAGAAAGTGATATGCTTGTAAAGAGAACACTGTTTAAAACAAAAATAAACTCTTGTAGAGTTAAAAGATATTAAAAGCCGGGCTCAGTGGCTCAGCCTGTAATCCCACGCCTTTGGGAGGCTGAGGTGAGTGGATTGCCTGAGCCCGCAGGGTTCGAGACCCTCCTGGGAAACTTGGCGAGACCTCATCTCTACAATAAATCAAAAAAATTAGCCGGGCATGGTAGCGCGAGCCTGTAGTTCCAGCTACCTGGAAGGCTGAGGCGGAAGGATCGCCGGAGCCCAGCAGGTCGAGGCTGTGGTGGCCGGGAGCGGCCACTGCACTCCAGTCTGGGCGACAGAGTGAGACTCCAACTCAAAAAAAAAAAAAGATATTAAAATATATGACAACAGAAATAAAATACATGGTAATAGTAATAATTTGGGAATTAAAGAGTTGTTTCCTTTACTATGCCTGCATAAGAACTCTTTAAACTGGTTTCTTAAAACAATTTGTTATTCAAGGATTCGATGGGTCAGAAAATCAGCAGGGCACAGTATGCACAGCTTATCTCTGTTCCATAAAGTCCAGGGCCTGGAATTTTATGAAAGTTTGTTTCTTCACATGGCTGAAACCTGATGTTGTCTATAGGCTAAGAGCCTATTTCTCTCCATATGGGCTAGTACGGGTTTCTTTATAGCATGGTGTCTGGGTTCCTATGACAAGGGGAGTGAAAGAAGGAGAGAAGGAAGGAGAGAGACCAATGGAACAGAACAAAGAACTAAAAAAAAAAAAGTCAAATATTTAACAACCAACTGATCTTTGACAAAATAGACAAAAATATACATGGGGGAAAGAACACCCTATTCCACAAATGGTGCTGGGAAAATTGGATAGCTGTGTGCAGAAAAATGAAACTTGATCCCTTTTCTCTCCTCATATACAAAAACTAACTCTAGATGGATTAAAGACTTAAATGTCAGAACTGAAACCATAAAAATCCTAGAAGAAAGCCTAGAAAAAACTCCTCTGGAAAAATCATATGATCATATTAATTTATGCTGGAAATGCTCTGACAAAATCCACATTATCCTGATTAAAAACCCTCCATATACCGGGAATAGAAAATTTCCAAATCTTATAAAAAGCATCTATAAAAAAGACTGAATGCTTTCTAAGAGCAAGAACAAGGCTAAGATTTTCATCCCATATTTATTTACTTATTTTGAATTCTCTCATGTCTATTAAATTTTATTTATTTATTTACTTACTCATTTTAAAGATATGGGGTACAATTTAAGATTAGGTATATACAAATGTTCATTATGCAGGTACCCTTGTTGATGAAGTGTGCCCCGCCTTCCCCTGGCAGTTTCCCTCAACTGCTGATCCCACCCCCACTCCCCTTGCAGTTTCCCACTACTGCCAATCTTTTTCTTATACTATTATGATAATTGTTCAAGGTCCATTTATGAGTGAGAACATATAGTACTCTGTTCTTTGTTTCTGTGACAGATCACTGAACATCAGTCATATTTAATATTATACTGAAGGGCAAGCTAATGTAATAAGATACAGAAATTAAAAACATAGACTAAATTACCCCAAATCATCCACAGTTATTATTTTAAATGGCATGGCACGAATATAATTTCAGTTACAGTTATAAAACAGACATAAATGTCTACTATCGCCATTATTAGACAACATTGATTCTAGCAAAGATAGACTAAAATAATCAGATTAGACATAAAATAACATAAGACCTTTCTTTAGCTGATGATATGGCTACATAGCTAAAAGAAAACTGAAAGATTCTACCTTTTAAAAGCCTAGAATTATATTTTTAAAAACTGTGGTAAGTACTGCATTAAAATTAAAAATCTCTGTAATAAAAAATAGCCTCTTATGTTGAAAATATTATATTAAGGATAATACAAATATTATTGTATAGTTAGGATCAGCCTTAATAAGAAAGTCAGAGGCCCAATACTATAAGGAAAGGGAGGATGAGGAGTCAGGAGACAGACTTTTAAAACTTTTTTAAAGGCAAAATATAAATAATATGACATTTACCATATTAACCATTTTTAAGAACAATTAGTGGCATTCAGTATATTCACAGCATTGTGCAATCATCACCACTTCCCAAAAAGAAACTCTGTACCATTCAGCATTAACTTACCATTAACCCCTACCCACAGCCCCTAGTAACCTCTATGTTACTTCCTATCTCTGAATGTACCTATCCAGTTACCTCATATAAGTAGAACCATACAATATCTGTTTTAATGTGTCCAAGGTTCTTCTATGTTATAGCATGTATCAGAAAACATCATCCCTTTTAAAGACTGAATAATAATATTATATTCTACATATACACCACATGTTTATCTGTTCATTTGCTGATGGACACTGAGATTAACTCCATCTTTTGGGTATTGTGATGAATACTGCTATGAACATTGGTATACAAGTGTCTGCTGGAGTTTCTGCTTTCAATTCTTTGGGGTATATACCTAGAAGTAAAATTGTTGGGTCATTTCTACCGTAGTTGCACTATTTTACATTCCACATCTTCAACAACACTTACTATTTTCCTTTTTAAATAACAGCTATCCCACTGGGTATAAAGTATCTCACCGGGGTCTTGATTTACATTTCTCAAATGACTAAAGATTTTGAACATCTTTTCATTTGTTCATTGGCCAGTAGCATATCTTCTATAGAGGAGTGTCTAATGTCTATCCACGTCCTTTGCCCATTTTTTAATTGGGTTGCTTGGTTTTGTGCTGTTGAACCGTAGTCCTTTCTATGTTCTAAGTATAAATCCCTTATCAGATAAATGATTTGCAAATATTTTCTCCTCCTCTTGGGTTGTCCTTTCACTCTTGTTAGTGTTCTTCAGACTAACATATACCAAAACATATTCCAGATGTATTAAAGACTTAAATTTTAAAAAATTAAAATGTTAAAATGAAAAATACAGTTTATACTTAATATACCATCTAGGTTATTACATATACCAGATCTTTATCTAAACAGGAAACTTAAAGTTATAAAAGAAAAGTCACATTTCAAAATTAAAATAAAATCTAACAGCCAAAAAATATTTTAAAAGTGCTCAAACTCAATGGCAATCATGGAAAACATTAAATATTAAAGTAACAGTAAGATCACTTAAAACTCAATTAGCAAAAAAAGTAGATCAGTAAATAGTCTATCAGGTGAAAGATACTTTCTTACATTACTGGTGTGAAAGAAAATTAAAATAGCCTCTTCTAAGAAAAGTATGGACTTTGCAGCAACTTGGATGGATTTAGAGTCTATATAATACTCAGTGATTTATCACAGAAACAAAGAACAGAGTACCACATGTTCTCACTCATAAGCAGATCCTGAACATTTACCATAATACTATAAGAAAGAGATTGGCAGAACCAGAAACTGCTGGGGGGAGTGGGGGTAGAAACACATAACATTAATAAGGGTACCTGATCTCAAATCAGGCAAAGTGGGGACCAAAGGGAGGCCCAAGTTTTACCTGTACAATGACCACTTGTATACCTAATACTGAATTGTACCCTATATCTTTAAAATAAAAAATAAATTTTTTAAAAGTCCCTTCTGAGCCGGGCTCGGTGGCTCAGCCTGTAATCCCATGCCTTAGGAGGCTGAGGTGAGTGGATTGCCTGAGCCCGCGGGTTTGAGACCCGCCTGGGCAACTTGGTGAGACCTCATCTCTACAATAAATCAAAAAATTAGTCGGGTGTGGTAGTGTGCGCCTGTAGTTCCAGCTACTTGGAAGGCTGAGGCAGAAGGATCGCCGGAGCCCAGCAGGTTGAGGCTGCAGTGGCCGTTCTGGCCACTGCACTCCAGTCTGGGTGACTGAGTGAGACTCCAACTCAAAAAAAAAAACAAAAACCCATACACATACCCACACATATGCTTATATATTTTTTCACATATAAACACCAATAAAGGTATGAAAGGATTCGAAGGCTACCTAAACAGAATGATGGGAATGTCTAAATTTTTCTTTTAAACAATGTCTTATTCTGTTACCTTAAATGTAGTAGTATTCTGTTAATTTAAAAATGAAAACCTAAAGAAAACTTTTAAAAGTAGCACAACTTATTACTGACTAATGGATATGAGGCAAAAGGAGAAAAAAGCAAAAGGGCACAGACCATTAACTTGAGAGGAAATCAAAAACAAATCCATCCATTTCATAATTCTGCCTAGGCTGACACTAACCTTGTCATCAAACCAATACATGCAGTATAGTTGAGATTTCTAACTTTTAAAATATATCCAGGCAAATAATACCCATGAAAATGCCACCAACCTGATCTGCTGGCAGCTTTGGCACTTGGTTCTACAACAAACTGCAGAGAAGCGGCTTCTTTTTTCTTTGAAGAAACTGGAACTGAATTTGATTGTGATTTCTGGCACTAAGCACAGAAGAAATACATTAAATCTACTTTACTAAATTACCAATTCTGATTAAACATATTTGTTTTTAAAATAGCGGGGGAAAGTATCCTAAAACAAACTAAGCCAGGCACAGTGGCTCACACCTATAATCCCAGCACTTTGAGAGGTTGAGGTGGGAGAACTGCTTGATCCCAGGGATTTGCAAGCAGCCTAGGCAACATAAGAGACCTCATCTCTACAAAAAATTTAAAAATTAGCCAGGCATGGTGGCACGCACTTGTAGTCCCATCTACTTAGGGAAATTGAGGTGGAAGAATCATCTGATCCCAGGAGGGCAACGCTACAAAATAAGCCATGGTTGTGCCACTGCACTCCAGCCTGGGAAACAGAGCAAGACCCTGACTCAAAAACAAAACAAAACAAACAAACAAGCAACAATTAACTAGCTGATAGTTTTAGACTGAAGTAATAACTACTTTAGGAAGCAATTTGGCTTTATCTAATGAAGTTGAAATTTCATACAACCTGTCACAAAAACAATGCTGCTCTGAATAACAAAAAACTACACTGATAGAAGACTAAAGTCTGGTATAATTATATAATATTACATTCATAACAGTGAAACAAACTACAATAACAAAAATAAATGATAATTTTAACCAAAAAAAGGGCAAGTTGCATAAGTACATAAAATCCCATACATGTAAAGCTCAAAATAGTTACAAGGACACATAAAACAACACAGTATTTAGAGATTTAATCACTCTATGCAGGAAAAAGTTCATAGCAGTCCTGACTGTTTAAAGGGTCAGCTTACAGTGCAACCTCTTGGTTGGCACCTGGAGCCTTGGCTCTGTGTGTGTGTTTGCTTTGAGTCAGAGTTTCACTCTGTCACCCAGACTGGAGTACAGTGGCACAATCATATCTCACCGCAACCTCGACCTCCTGGGCTCAGGCAATCCTTCCCCCTCAATCTCCTGAGTGGCTAGGGACTATAGGCACGTGCCATCACACCCGGCTAATTTTTACTATTTTTTTGTAGAGACAAGGTCTCATTAGGTTGCCCAGGTTGATCTTGAACTCCTGGGATCAAGCAATCCTTCTATAATCCCAAAGTGGTGGGATTACAGGCGTGAGCCACCACACCGGGTCAAGACTTGGCTTTTAGAATGTTCCCTCCATTACCAATTGATAAGATTGTGTATTCTGTGCCAGCCTGCCTAGACTTTTGTATAAACAATGTGATTTATAGTAAACACCTGCTTCCTTTTCTTCTGGAAGTGTATCATTTGGGTAGGAAGAGGATGCCTATGGGACCAGCACCCAATAAAAACAGGCTGAGTTTCAAAAGGATTCCCTGGGAAGAAAGACTTCATATATTACTGTATTTCACTGCTAGAATCAGTGAGTGCACTCTATATGGTCCCCTTGGGGAGTACAGGAAGCAAGCACATAAGATTCACCATACTGTCTCTTTTCCTCTTACTGATCTGGCTGTGTACCCTGTTATAGGATTATAATAAATCTTAGTTTTAAGTACAACTATATGTCAAGTCTCCTGAGTCCTTCTAGTGAAGCACCAAACATAGATGATAACGGGACCTCTGTCACAGTGGTAGTACAAGTGCTGACACAAATATCAACATATACCCACATACATGTGATAAAGAAAGAGAATGATGAACATCAAGTCAAGAAAGTGGTTACCTTTGTGTAGAGAAGAGAAAAAGAATAGAATCAGAAAAGGGCACATAGGTGCTTCATAGGTATTTGAACTTCTTATACTGAGTGATGGGTACATGAGTTTTCTTTTACATTGTTTTTAATACTTTACATGTGTATTATATATTTTCATCAATCTGAAATGTCAAGCCATAAATTTTAATATTTAATAATTTCATTTCAAATGTGCATTATTTTAGAGAAATGCAGTTTGTAAATGTGCACAAGAAAACATGGACAAAGATATGCACTGCATTAGTGTGATAATGAATAGATGGGAACAACCTAAAAATTTATTAGTAAGGGAATAAGCAAATAACAAAGCCACTGCACTACTGATGTGTAGATACACTACAGAATTCAATTCCATTTTTTTAAAAAAGCAGGCTTGGAGGTCAGGAAGATGGCGGTCGAGTCAGTCCTACTACGCGAGTCCCGGTGTAAGTGAGTGTATGTTGAATTTTGTGTACATGCTGGTGAGCGAGTGGGCGTGTGAGTGGCTGACTGAGTGAGTGCTAGAGAGCTGGCGCCCAGGGCTCTCCTGGTGCAGCCACTGGTGCCACAGCGGCTGTCTTGGACCCTAGTGATTCCTGGGAAACAGAAACTGAGCACCATTTTCTTTTTCTTTTTTTAAAATCAACAAACCCTCCCTGGGAAGAAAATGCTGGGAGAGACCGTCTAAGTGAGGGCTCGTGAGTGGGTGTCCAGGGCCCTGGAGCAACAGCTGGTGCTGCAGCTTCTCTACTTCTTCCCTGGCTCTTCCCAGGTCGCAGAAACTGAGTGCCATTGTTTTTTTTTAAGGGACAGAAGTTTTCCTGTGAAAAAATCAGCGGGTAGAAACTATCCCTCTAGGCTCTCCCTCACCATTGAAGTAGGAGAGAGACTGCTGGCTCCTGGCTTTGTCTCACCACTTCAGTGCCTGACAGGGCGCTGGCAGCAGGGACTGCAGAGGGAGTCCGGAGGCAAGGTCCCATGGAAGAGGACAAGAGAGGCACCCCACCGCCATCTTGAAGGCGGGGCAGGAAAGTGCTCCGCCTGCTCACAAGGGAGCAATTGGCCTGATCTCTGTGACTGGCAGATCAACCACTCAGGGACTGATCGTGGCCCAGAGGGAATATCCTGAGAGCACAAACTTTGGAGGAACCTGATGAGTGCTGAATTTCAGGCACCCCACCTTCTACCCTGATCCAGCCACAGGACAAAGGGTACGGCCAGAAAAAGATGAGAGAGAACTCCAAAGAGATCAGTGGTGAGTCCAGGGCTGACCTAAACCCCCTCCTCCCCAGTAATCCTCTGAAAGTCAGACCACCCAGCTGGGCCATGACTGTGAGGGACAAACCCAGGTAGAATCTGGACATCAGTCGCAATAGGAGAACTCCATTCCAGGATAGGCACCCCCATAAGAGTACATACCTGGGGAAGAGACAATCCCACACCTCCCCACCAGGAGATCTCCCTGAGCATACAAGAGTGAGGGGAGGACTGCAGCCCCACCCACCTCCACTGCCCTTCCTCCTTCCCTGTTTCAGACCCTGAGGAGAGAGTGAAAGAGGTGGCTCTGCAGGAGAGGAGCAATTACAGGGCCTGCAACAAGAGGGCTGGTTTTTCTTTTCTTTCTTTTTTTTTTTTGAATTAAAGTTTAATTTTTAAGATTTTTTTGGCTATTTGTTAGTTTATCTATTTTTAAATTTTTTCCTTTGTGCATGAATGTGTATGTGAGGATTTGATCTGCATCCCCCCCAAATTTTTTTACTTTCCTTATTCTGTTTCATTCTTCTTTTATTTGTCTTTTTCTGTTTATGTGAGTAAGTGAATGATTGAGTGTTCATCTTTCCATTTTGTAGTTGTTGTTGGTTTTTGCTCTTTTGTTTTTCTGGTATTTTTCTATTTTCAATTTTTATAGTTTAACGTGTGTGTTAATATATGTGTTAGGGTTCGACTTGAATTCCATTTTTAAAAAAATTTTTCCTCTGGTCTTCCTGTTTTCCTTCTCTATTCACTTTGTGCTAGGCATGTGTGTGTGTGTTTAGTTTTCTTGGGGTTTTTTGTTGTTGTCTGTTTTGTTTCGCTTTGTTGCTATTCCAGTTTGTTTGGGGTATGTGTATATGTTTGTATATGTGTGTGTGTGTGTGTGTGTGTGTGTGTGTGTGTGTATGTTCAATTGCCTCTGCACTGGTTTCTGCTTTGCATCGTCATACAGAGCAGTGGTGGGGAGTGGACCACAATAAGTCAACATTGTAATTTGCAAGTAGTTTCTGATTCCTAGCGCCCATGCCCTACTTTATGTGAATTTCAAAAACTGTAAGAGACAGCAGACCTTCCCATCTACCGTCCTACTTCAAAATAGAACAAATCCAGAGCCTGGATCAGGGAAGAATAGAGGACTGAGCAAACAACAGAAGGGAAAGCCTCTCTAAATGACACTGAATAACAGACCAAAAGAAAAAAAACAAGAGCTCTGTCACAAATGAGGAAAAACCAAAGGAAGACCTCAGGCAATTTCAAGTATATCAAAGACAAAACTCCTGAAAAATCAGTCCTTGGTGTCCAAACAATGGAAGTCACCAACAACTAGACCCAAAATAATGACAGGGATTAGAGAATGGATGGAAAGAGTGAATAGATGCAAGAAAGACAAAATGCAACACTAAAAGAAGTTGTAACAGAGATTTTGGCAAAAAAAAAATTTCATCCAGGAAATAAATAACAAGTTGAAAAGCCTGGAAAGCAGAATTAATCTAGTAGAAGAAAGAATCTCAGAACTTGAAGACCAGAACATGGAATCAACTCGATCTGTAAAAAACATAGAAAGAAGACTCAGAAAGAAAGAACAAAGCCTACAAGAAATGTGTGATTATATCAAGAGGCCAAACCTATACCTGATTGGTATCTCAGAAGAAGAAAAGGAAATGGAAAACAACTTGCAGCAAGTATTCCAGTAGGTAGTCCAAAAAAACTTTCCCCATCTCCACAGATATGTGACCAGCCAAGTACAAGAGATACAGAGAACCCCCACAACACATCAAATGAGAAGACTAACCCCTAGACACACAGTAATTAGCCTACACAAAGTAGGCACAAAAGAAAAATCCTAAAGGAAGCAAGAGAGAAAGGTCAGGCTACCTACCAGGGAAAACCAACCAGAATAGCAGCAGACCTATTGGCAGAAACACTCCAAGTAAGAAGGGACTGGAGCCCTATATTCAAAGTCCTCAAAGATAAACAATTTAAACCAAGAATTTCTATCAAGTCAAACTCAGCTTCATCAGTGATGGAGAATTAAAATCTTTCTTAG